ACACATGGACAAAATATGAATCCACCGCTTACATCCTGCCCCCCACCTATGAATTAAATAGTAGGTTTTTTTATTTGTAATCATTATTATCTCTCCGGAAATTCTTACCATCGTAAAATACTCGGTGGATTTAAATAAGCTGCAAAAGGTTGATAAACCGTAAAACTAAGTAATAAATCACCCTACGGTGGAGTAATGGATAGTGGCTCGGATTGAGGAATCGGAGAGTCGAGTTCGAATTCCAGTCGAATCCATTACATTCACTTACGTGCTAATACCCCTGGGAAAGGTATGAATCCTCTTCTAGCTATAAGTAAATAGCAGAATAGACTGGGCTCTATAGCCTTGGATGGCAACTGGTCTACCGCAGAAAGAAATGGCAACCTACTGCGGGAACATCTGCCTCTTATCGAAAGATACATGATCGCCTAAACGTGTATCACGCATGGCACATAACTGACTAATGCAAAACTGTTGTATTAACTGGATTCAATAAAAATTAGAAACCTTCGTTTATAATGGGATGATCTGTTTTATCAAAAGGTTATGTAACGTGACTGTAAACAAAGGAAAAGTTTTTTTTTAATAAAATACAACATATGTATATAAAACTATAAAAAATTATGGAAACTTTTTTCTTATAAAAACATGTGCATATTTTTCTATAAATCGAAAACAAAGACTTTATTAAAATATGTGTTAAAGTCATGAAAATATGCACTTTAAGCAAACTGGTAACAGTATATCAATGATTCCCACGTGGAGTCCATGCCCCACCGGTGGGGCATGGTAATATTTTGGTGGGGTATGCTTAGGATGTGCATCCTTCGGTTTACTATATGTTGTAGCATACCTACGGACGATTCACATAAATACGGTAGTAAATACTGTATGTTGGTCTTCAGTTAGGGATTCGTCTCCAGCTGTGCTGGTCAAATTCTCTACCCCCGGACAGAGAGAATCCCGAGACGAGGCTATGTCGAAGGGCAGAGTCTCGTCGATGGAAACAGATAATCGACCCCGTTTTATACAGGGTTTACGGGGCATTTTTGGCCGAAACTACGGGCTCGGATACCCCACATTAAATTCGGTCTTGTGCCATATCTGACCGCGTGGGGTAGTTGGTAGATACCATCTGCAGTTGGAGATTCATCTCCAGCTGTGCTCTCTGTCTCCGGGCAGAGAGGATCTCCAGACGAGGCTATGTCGAAGGGCAGAGTCTCATCTCGGGAAACAGATACCCGACCCCGTTTTATATGGGGTCTAAGAGGAGGTTTTGACCGAGCCTACGGGCTCGGATACTCCACATTAAATTCGGCCTTGTGCCATATCTGACCGCGTGGGACGGTAGGTAGATATCCTAGAGTTGGAGATTCATTGTGGAATTCACTTGATTCACTTCTAGCAATTGACTACTTCTTTTACGCGCCGCTGGCGAATCTTATATGTGTTGTTCTTGTCTTATGTATTATCGTTCATTACCAACCTTCGTGTGATTATTTTATTCAGTAACCTTCCATAGGTTACAACACTCTACCAACAGAATAAGAGGGCAATTCGAGAATAACTTATTAACAGTGAATTGTTTTCTAGTGAGTCTGAGTGAAAGTGTTAATGTTAATGTGTGTTAATACATACGATGTATATAGAGTATGCATAAATCAAAATATTTTGTGTGTATGTACGTTCATGTGTAATTCGCATAGAACGTATTTCCCGTCTGCCCACACTCGCGTGCCTAGTTCAGCAAAGGAGAGGGTGTGATGCATGTTGCTGGAAGAGCCCATGTTTTGTTGGCCAATCAACGCGAGCATTCCGTTTGCTTCCTTCACGTGAATTGCAGTAAAATTTTGAATATTTAAAAATTAGATATTAAAGGGTGGGGGCACCAGAATTTTAGAAATACCAAAAAGGGTCATGGCCCCAAATCGGTTGGGAACCTTTGTAATATATTGAGGAGTGAAAGCGTTTGACTGGCGACAGTAGCGAGAGTGTTAATATAATACGATTATGAATATTATTACAATGCGCAAATACAAAGCTTTTTTTTGTTGTTGTCTGAAATCGTCATATCTTTCTGACATGATTCAATGGCGCATTGAACTAGAAAACGTTGAATATTGCACAAGAGAGAAGGAAACTGAATCCCTTTAGGGTTGTATCTTATTAAAGCAGGAACTGTTGTAAACTGCCACTACATTTATGCTTCATAAGATCTCATTTATTTTCCTTTTCTTGTGCGTGAAATTCTTGAAGGTAGCCGCGGATATTATTCGGTAGTATTTTTTTTTTTCGTCTGTCGTCGCCTCTTTGTCTCTTTTTCTTTTTATTTCCATTTTCAGATACTGGAGCCTTTTGTTGTTGTTGTTGTTGTTAAATGCGAACAATTAGGAGAGGTGTCCAATATTGCGTAGTTCCTTCCACACTTCATTGCTTGTGTCCATATCGACACATTTTGCACGCTTCACTGAAAAGGACGGACACGTGGACTGACTGCTTCTGAACGCGTACGAACAGGTCCTTTGCGGTCATGAGTAATATTTTAAGAACACAAGATGCGTAGTCTTACAAAATTAGATTTCTTTACAATTTACCATCGTAATCTATCTATCTATCTATCTATCTATCTATCTATCTATCTATCTATCTATCTCCGTCTGCTCACATTTATCTATCTATCTATCACATTCTGTTCATATCTATCTATCTATCTATCTATCTATCTATCTATCTATCTATCTATCTCCGTCTGCTCACATCTATCTATCTATCTATCTATCTATTCTGTTCTATCTATCTATCCATCCCTATCTATCTATCTATCATCTATCTATCTCCGTCTGCTCTATCTATCTATCTATCTATCTATCTATCTATCTATCTATCTCCATCTATCTATCTGAATCATTTGCATCTATCTATCTATCTATCTATCTATCTATCTATCTATCTATCTCCGCTGCTCACATCTATCTATCTCTGTCTGCTCACATCTATCTATCTATCTATCTATCTATCTATCTATCTATCTATCTATCTATCTATCTATCTATCTCAGTCTGCACACATCTATCTATCTATCTATCTATCTATCTATCTATCTATCTATCTATCTATCTATCTATCTATCTATGTTCATATATACAGTGTGCGTGATGATGACAATTAGAAGCAAAATAATTAATTTCCATTTGCTGCTAATTGCCGAAGTGATTAATTAATGTCTGGTTTGATAAGATTATGTTTTCCGAAAACGTCCTTTTTCCTTAGGGTAAGAAATCTGTCATATGACGCCCGAGGAAGTCACGGGCGTCTATTTCGAAATCAATGTCGGGAGATCTCACAGCTCTTAAAAACCATTCAAAAATTAATATGTTAGGAAATGTTTAGCATACTCGAATTAATGCCTCACACTTGTGTTACGACATTTCTTAAATGTGAGAAGCCAACCTCGAGTTATTGGTTCTGTAGACTTAATACTTGATTTCCACACCCACTACTCCTCCTCCTCTTCCTCCTTTTCCTCTGCATCATCATCATCATCATCATCATCATCATCATCATCATCATCGATGACTACAAGAAAGTGATTGCATTTTCGACTGTTCGCAGTCTCTTCTTACTGCAAGTCTGTTCTACAGGAATAAATTGCTCAACAATGCATAAAAGCGTCCAGCAAAACTCGGCTCGTTGACGGAAATTGGATTCCAGACAACGAGGCTGAAGATAGCGGCGTTCTGTTGGCTGCTCGAAGATTGATTTCTTAAGAACAGAGTTTGGCTAGCCTATCATATTCAGCTCAGAATTATTCTATATTCCTATGCTCCACTAGAAATCCGAAACGCATATTCTATTTAAGACTCTCTCTCTCTCTCTCTCTATATATATATATATATATATATATATATATATATATATATATATATATATATATATATATGTTGTAACTAAAAGGCGAGTTTAAAAGAGGGAGTGAAAATTTATCAAACTGAAGAAAGAGAAGTTATCACCCATTTGGTCATTTTTAATTTTATCCTTTCTTTCTTTCTTTCTTTCTTTCTTTCTTTCTTTCTTTTCTTTCTTTTTTCTTTCTTTCGTTCCTTTCTCCCTTCCTTCCTTACAACTCTTTTTTCTATCACTTTTCTTTAGTTTATTAATATCTTTGTTTCTTTCCTTGCTTCCACTTCTATGTTTCTACGTTATTCTTTCTTTCTTTCTTTCTTTCTTTCTTTCTTTCTTTCTTTCTTTCTTTCTTTCTTTCTTTCGTTCCTTTCTACCTTCCTTCCTTACAACTCTTTTTTCTATCACTTTTCTTTAGTTTATTAATATCTTTGTTTCTTTCCTTGCTTCCACTTCTATGTTACGTTATTCTTTCTTTCTTTCTTTCTTTCTTTCTTTCTTTCTTTCTTTCTTTCTTTCTTTCTTTCCTTTCTTTTCCCTTCCTTCCTTACAACTCTTTTTCTATCACTTTTCTTTAGTTTATTAATATCTTTTGTTTTTCTTTCCTTGCTTCCACTTCTATGTTACGTTATTCTTTCTTTCTTTCTTTCTTTCTTTCTTTCTTTCTTTCTTTCTTTCTTTCTTTCGTTCCTTTCTACCTTCCCTTCCTTACAACTCTTTTTTTTTCCTCACTTTTCTTTTAGTTTATTAATATCTTTGTTTCTTTCCTTGCTTCCACTTCTATGTTACGTTATTCTTTCTTTCTTTCTTTCTTTCTTTCTTTCTTTCTTTCTTTCTTTCTTTCTTTCTTTCGTTCCTTTCTACCTTCCTTCCTTACAACTCTTTTTTCTATCACTTTTCTTTAGTTTTATTAATATCTTTTGTTTCTTTCCTTGCTTCCACTTCTATGTTACGTTATTCTTTCTTTCTTTCTTTCTTTCTTTCTTTCTTTCTTTTCTTTCTTTCTTTCGTTCCTTTCTCCTTCCTTCCTTACAACTCTTTTTCTATCACTTTTCTTTAGTTTATTAATATCTTTTGTTTCTTTCCTTGCTTCCACTTCTATGTTACGTTATTCTTTCTTTCTTTTTTCTTTCTTTCTTTCTTTCTTTCTTTCTTTCTTTCTTTCTTTCGTTTCCTTTCTACCTTCCTTCCTTACAACTCTTTTTTCTATCACTTTTCTTTAGTTTATTAATATCTTTGTTTCTTTCCTTGCTTCCACTTCTATGTTTACGTTATTCTTTTCTTTCTTTCTTTCTTTCTTTCTTTCTTTCTTTCTTTTCTTTCTTTCTTTCGTTCCTTTCTGCCTTCCTTCCTTACAACTCTTTTTCTATCACTTTTCTTTTAGTTTATTAATATCTTTGTTTCTTTCCTTGCTTCCACTTCTATGTTACGTTATTCTTTCTTTCTTTCTTTCTTTCTTTCTTTCTTTCTTTCTTTCTTTCTTTCTTTCTTTCGTTCCTTTCTACCTTCCTTCCTTACAACTCTTTTTTCTATCACTTTTCTTTAGTTTATTAATATCTTTGTTTCTTTCCTTGCTTCCACTTCTATGTTACGTTATTCTTTCTTTTCTTTTTTCTTTCTTTCTTTCTTTCTTTTTTCTTTCTTTCTTTCTTTCTTTCGTTCCTTTCTCCTTCCTTCCTTACAACTCTTTTTTTTCTATCACTTTTCTTTAGTTTATTAATATCTTTGTTTCTTTCCTTGCTTCCACTTCTATGTTTAAAGTTATTCTTTCTTTCTTTTCTTTCTTTTCTTTCTTTCTTTCTTTTTTTTTCTTTCTTTCGTTTCCTTTCTACCTTCCTTCCTTTACAACTCTTTTTTTTTCTATCACTTTTCTTTAGTTTATTAATATCTTTGTTTCTTTCCTTGCTTCCACTTCTATGTTACGTTATTCTTTCTTTCTTTCTTTCTTTCTTTTTTCTTTCTTTCTTTCTTTCTTTCTTTCTTTCTTTCGTTCCTTTCTACCTTCCTTCCTTACTCTTTTTTTTCTATCACTTTTCTTTAGTTTATTAATATCTTTGTTTCTTTCCTTGCTTCCCTTCTATGTTACGTTATTCTTTCTTTCTTTCTTTCTTTCTTTCTTTCTTTCTTTCTTTCTTTCTTTCTTTCGTTTCTTTCTACCTTCCTTCCTTACAACTCTTTTTTTTATCACTTTTCTTTGGTTTTATAATATCTTTGTTTCTTTCCTTGCTTCCACTTCTATGTTACGTTATTCTTTCTTTCTTTCTTTCTTTCTTTCTTTCTTTCTTTCTTTCTTTCTTTCTTTCTTTCGTTTCCTTTCTACCTTCCTTCCTTACAACTCTTTTTTTCTATCACTTTTCTTTAGTTTATTAATATCTTTGTTTCTTTCCTTGCTTCCACTTCTATGTTACGTTATTCTTTCTTTCTTTCTTTCTTTCTTTCTTTCTTTCTTTCTTTCTTTTCTTTCTTTCGTTCCTTTCTACCTTCCTTCCTTACAACTCTTTTTTCTATTTTTCTTTAGTTTATTAATATCTTTGTTTCTTTCCTTGCTTCCACTTCTATGTTACGTTATTCTTTCTTTCTTTCTTTCTTTCTTTCTTTCTTTCTTTCTTTCTTTCTTTCTTTCTTTCGTTCCTTTCTACCTTCCTTCCTTACAACTCTTTTTTCTATCACTTTTCTTTAGTTTATTAATATCTTTGTTTCTTTCCTTGCTTCCACTTCTATGTTACGTTATTCTTTCTTTCTTTCTTTCTTTCTTTCTTTCTTTCTTTCTTTCTTTCTTTCTTTCGTTCCTTTCTCCTTCCTTCCTTACAACTCTTTTTATCACTTTTCTTTAGTTTATTAATATCTTTGTTTCTTTCCTTGCTTCCACTTCTATGTTACGTTATTCTTTCTTTCTTTCTTTCTTTCTTTCTTTCTTTCTTTCTTTCTTTCTTTCGTTCCTTTCTACCTTCCTTCCTTACAACTCTTTTTTCTATCACTTTTCTTTAGTTTATTAATATCTTTGTTTCTTTCCTTGCTTCCACTTCTATGTTACGTTATTCTTTCTTTCTTTCTTTCTTTTCTTTCTTTCTTTCTTTCTTTCTTTCTTTTCTTTCGTTCCTTTCTACCTTCCCTTCCTTACAACTCTTTTTTCTATCACTTTTCTTTAGTTTATTAATATCTTTGTTTCTTTCCTTGCTTCCCACTTCTATGTTACGTTGTTCTTTCTTTCTTTCTTTCTTTCTTTCTTTCTTTCTTTCTTTTCTTTCTTTCTTTCGTTCCTTTCTACCTTCCTTCCTTACAACTCTTTTTTCTATCACTTTTCTTTAGTTTATTAATATCTTTGTTTCTTTCCTTGCTTCCACTTCTATGTTACGTTATTCTTTCTTTCTTTCTTTCTTTCTTTCTTTCTTTCTTTCTTTCTTTCTTTCTTTCGTTCCTTTCTACCTTCCTTCCTTACAACTCTTTTTTCTATCTTTTCTTTTAGTTTATTAATATCTTTGTTTCTTTCCTTGCTTCCACTTCTATGTTACGTTATTCTTTCTTTCTTTTCTTTCTTTTCTTTCTTTCTTTCTTTCTTTCTTTCTTTCTTTCTTTCGTTTCCTTTCTCGTTTCCTTCCTTTTTTCTTTTTTCTATCACTTTTCTTTAGTTTATTAATATCTTTGTTTCTTTTCTTGCTTCCACTTCTATGTTGACGTTATTCTTTCTTTTTTTCTTTCTTTCTTTCTTTTCTTTCTTTTCTTTCTTTCTTTCTTTCGTTTCCTTTCTACCTTCCTTCCTTACAACTCTTTTTCTATCACTTTTCTTTGGTTTATTAATATCTTTGTTTCTTTCCTTGCTTCCACTTCTATGTTACGTTATTCTTTCTTTCTTTCTTTCTTTTTCTTTCTTTCTTTCTTTCTTTCTTTCTTTCTTTCGTTTTCCTTTCTACCTTCCTTCCTTACAACTCTTTTTTCTATCACTTTTCTTTAGTTTATTAATATCTTTTTTTTCTTTCCTTGCTTCCACTTCTATGTTACGTTATTCTTTCTTTCTTTCTTTCTTTCTTTTTCTTTCTTTCTTTCTTTCTTTCTTTCTTTTTCTTTCCTTTCTTTCCCTTCCTTCCTTACAACTCTTTTTTTTTATCACTTTTCTTTGGTTTATTAATATCTTTGTTTCTTTCCTTGCTTCCACTTCTATGTTACGTTATTCTTTCTTTCTTTCTTTCTTTCTTTCTTTCTTTCTTTCTTTCTTTCTTTCTTTCGTTCCTTTCTACCTTCCTTCCTTACAACTCTTTTTCTATCACTTTTCTTTAGTTTATTAATATCTTTGTTTCTTTCTTTGCTTCCACTTCTATGTTACGTTATTCTTTCTTTCTTTCTTTTTTTTTCTTTCTTTCTTTCTTTCTTTCTTTCTTTCGTTCCTTTCTCCCTTCCTTCCTTACAACTCTTTTTTCTATCACTTTTCTTTAGTTTATTAATATCTTTGTTTCTTTCCTTGCTTCCACTTCTATGTTACGTTATTCTTTCTTTCTTTCTTTCTTTCTTTCTTTCTTTCTTTTCTTTCTTTCTTTCTTTCTTTTCCTTTCTACCTTCCTTCCTTACAACTCTTTTTTTCTATCACTTTTCTTTAGTTTATTAATATCTTTGTTTCTTTCCTTGCTTCCACTTCTATGTTACGTTATTCTTTCTTTTCTTTCTTTCTTTCTTTCTTTCTTTCTTTCTTTCTTTCTTTCTTTCGTTCCTTTCTACCTTCCTTCCTTAACTCTTTTTCTATCACTTTTCTTTAGTTTATTAATATCTTTGTTTCTTTCCTTGCTTCCCACTTCTATGTTACGTTATTCTTTCTTTCTTTCTTTCTTTCTTTCTTTCTTTTCTTTTTTCTTTCTTTCTTTCGTTTCCTTTCTACCTTCCTTACAACTCTTTTTCTATCACTTTTCTTTTGGTTTATTAATATCTTTGTTTCTTTCCTTGCTTCCACTTCTATGTTACGTTATTCTTTCTTTCTTTCTTTCTTTCTTTCTTTCTTTCTTTCTTTCTTTCTTTCTTTCGTTCCTTTCTCCTTCCTTCCTTACAACTCTTTTTTCTATCACTTTTCTTTGGTTTATTAATATCTTTTGTTTCTTTCCTTGCTTCCACTTCTATGTTACGTTATTCTTTCTTTCTTTCTTTCTTTCTTTCTTTCTTTCTTTCTTTCTTTCTTTCTTTCGTTCCTTTCTACCTTCCTTCCTTACAACTCTTTTTTCTATCACTTTTCTTTAGTTTATTAATATCTTTGTTTCTTTCCTTGCTTCCCTTCTTCTATGTTACGTTATTCTTTTCTTTTCTTTCTTTCTTTCTTTCTTTCTTTCTTTCTTTCTTTCTTTCTTTCGTTCCTTTCTACCTTCCTTCCTTACAACTCTTTTTTCTATCACTTTTCTTTAGTTTATTAATATCTTTGTTTCTTTCCTTGCTTCCACTTCTATGTTACGTTATTCTTTCTTTCTTTCTTTCTTTCTTTCTTTCTTTCTTTCTTTCTTTCTTTCTTTCGTTCCTTTCTCCTTCCTTCCTTACAACTCTTTTTTTCTATCACTTTTCTTTAGTTTATTAATATCTTTGTTTCTTTCCTTGCTTCCACTTCTATGTTACGTTATTCTTTCTTTCTTTCTTTCTTTCTTTCTTTCTTTCTTTCTTTCTTTCTTTCTTTCTTTTCTTTCCTTTCTACCTTCCTTCCTTACAACTCTTTTTTTTCTATCACTTTTCTTTTTAGTTTATTAATATCTTTGTTTTCTTTCCTTGCTTCCCACTTCTATGTTACGTTATTCTTTTCTTTCTTTCTTTCTTTCTTTCTTTCTTTCTTCTTTCTTTTCTTTCTTTTTCGTTTCCTTTCTACCTTCCCTTCCTTACAACTTTTTTCTATCACTTTTCTTTTAGTTTTATTAATATCTTTGTTTCTTTCCTTGCTTCCACTTCTATGTTACGTTATTCTTTCTTTCTTTCTTTCTTTTCTTTCTTTCTTTCTTTTCTTTCTTTCTTTCGTTTCCTTTCTACCTTCCTTCCTTACAACTCTTTTTTCTATCACTTTTCTTTGGTTTATTATATCTTTGTTTCTTTCCTTGCTTCACTTCTATGTTACGTTATTCTTTTTTCTTTCTTTCTTTCTTTCTTTTCTTTCAACAACAACTTTCTTTCTTTCGTTCCTTTCTCCTTCCTTCCTTACAACTCTTTTTTCTATCACTTTTCTTTAGTTTATTAATATCTTTGTTTCTTTCCTTTGCTTCCCTTCTATGTTACGTTATTCTTTCTTTCTTTTTTCTTTCTTTCTTTCTTTCTTTCTTTCTTTCTTTCTTTCGTTCCTTTTTTACCTTCCTTCCTTGCTCTTTTTTTTCTATCACTTTTTTTTAGTTTTATTAATATCTTTGTTTTTTCCTTGCTTCCCACTTCTATGTTTACGTTATTCTTTCTTTCTTTCTTTCTTTCTTTCTTTCTTTCTTTCTTTCTTTCTTTCTTTCTTTCGTTCCTTTCTACCTTCCTTCCTTACAACTCTTTTTTTCTATCACTTTTCTTTAGTTTATTAATATCTTTGTTTCTTTCTTGCTTCCACTTCTATGTTTACGTTATTCTTTCTTTCTTTCTTTCTTTCTTTCTTTCTTTCTTTCTTTCTTTCTTTCTTTCGTTTTCCTTTCTACCTTCCTTCCTTACAACTCTTTTTTCTATCACTTTTCTTTGAATTATTAATATCTTTGTTTCTTTCCTTGCTTCCACTTCTATGTTTACGTTATTCTTTCTTTCTTTCTTTTCTTTCTTTCTTTCTTTTCTTTCTTTCTTTCTTTCGTTCCTTTCTACCTTCCTTCCTTAAACTCTTTTTTTCTATCACTTTTCTTTAGTTTTGTATCTTTGTTTCTTTCCTTGCTTCCACTTCTATGTTACGTTATTCTTTTTTCTTTCTTTCTTTCTTTCTTTCTTTTCTTTCTTTCTTTCTTTCTTTCGTTTCCTTTCTACCTTCCTTCCTTACAACTCTTTTTCTATCACTTTTCTTTAGTTTATTAATATCTTTGTTTCTTTCCTTGCTTCCACTTCTATGTTACGTTATTCTTTCTTTCTTTCTTTCTTTCTTTCTTTCTTTCTTTCTTTCTTTCTTTCGTTTCCTTTCTACCTTCCTTCCTTACAACTCTTTTTTTCTATCACTTTTCTTTAGTTTATTAATATCTTTGTTTCTTTTCCTTTTTGCTTCCACTTCTATGTTTTGTTATTCTTTCTTTCTTTTTTTCAACTTTCTTTCTTTTTTTCTTTCTTTCTTTTCTTTCGTTCCTTTCTACCTTCCCTTCCTTACAACTCTTTTTTCTATCACACTTTTCTTTTAGTTTATTAATATCTTTGTTTCTTTCCTTGCTTCCACTTCTATGTTTACGTTATTCTTTCTTTCTTTCTTTCTTTCTTTCTTTTCTTTCTTTCTTTCTTTCTTTCGTTCCTTTCTACCTTCCTTCCTTACAACTCTTTTTTTTTCTATCACTTTTCTTTAGTTTATTAATATCTTTGTTTCTTTCCTTGCTTCCACTTCTATGTTACGTTATTCTTTCTTTCTTTCTTTCTTTCTTTCTTTCTTTCTTTCTTTCTTTCTTTCGTTTCCTTTCTACCTTCCTTCCTTACAACTCTTTTTTTTCTATCACTTTTCTTTAGTTTATAATATCTTTGTTTCTTTCCTTGCTTCCACTTCTATGTTACGTTATTCTTTCTTTCTTTCTTTCTTTCTTTCTTTCTTTCTTTCTTTCTTTCTTTCGTTCCTTTCTACCTTCCTTCCTTACAACTCTTTTTTTTTCACTTTTCTTTAGTTTTATTAATATCTTTGTTTCTTTCCTTGCTTCCACTTCTATGTTACGTTATTCTTTCTTTCTTTCTTTCTTTCTTTCTTTCTTTCTTTCTTTCTTTCTTTCTGTTCCTTTCTACCTTCCTTCCTTACAACTCTTTTTTTCTATCACTTTTTCTTTGTTTTATTAATATCTTTGTTTCTTTCCTTGCTTCCACTTCTATGTTACGTTATTCTTTCTTTCTTTCTTTCTTTCTTTCTTTCTTTCTTTCTTTCTTTCTTTCTTTTTCTTTCGTTCCTTTCTACCCCTTCCTTCTTAACTCTTTTTCTATCACTTTTCTTTAGTTTATTAATATCTTTGTTTCTTTCCTTGCTTCCTTCTATGTTTACGTTATTCTTTCTTTCTTTCTTTCTTTCTTTTCTTTTCTTTCTTTCTTTTCTTTCTTTCTTTCTTTCTTGTATATCCCATCATTTTCCTATCTATCTATCTATCTATCTATCTATCTATCTATCTATCTATCTATCTATCCTACATTAATTCTCATTTATCTATCTATCTATCTATCTATCTATCTATCTATCTATCTATCTATCTATCCTACATTAATTCTCATTTATCTATCTATCTATCTATCTATCTATCTATCTATCTATCTATCTATCTATCTATCTATCCTACATTAA